TCACCCTGGAATCCTTGTGTTTAGCATTTAGTAACTAAATATTCCACATTGATGGCTCATTTTCATCTTACTTAAACCCGAGTCCCATGCATCACTATGACAACGTTCCCCATCTCACCTCTGCTTAAATATTGTTTAATACTTAAGTCTCATTTAATTACTTTCTTTATTAAGGGCAGATACTTACAAAATAGCTTTTTAAAAGACAAAAACTATGCCTTTTAGTAAAATTGTCTCTTTCCCAAAGATGGATGTGTATCAGTACAAAGAATGGTCTAATCTGGCATCTGTTTATTTCTGGAAGGAACCTTGATTTTGCTAATACATTTCTATGCATCAGAACCAAAAAAAAAAAAAAAAAAACCCATCCATAAAAAGACAATTACAGAGATGCAATCAAGCATTGATAGCAGTATTCAGACACATCTCAAAGAACATTCAGGAGAGGAAGGATTACAGGTTTAGTTTTATGTAGCTTCTTATAAATCAATTTTTAAAGGAATTTCCCCACATCCAATGAGGGAAATTTGATTTCAGTAGGCAGTATTCATGTTCCAGAAAACCATATGCACTTTGTTCTATAATTATACGATGCCTATTATTTTAGCCCAGAGACATTATTTTATTTATTCCACAGTCAGCTTCTCCCCAGAGCCTAAGTCACAGGCTGGTAATGAGTTCGGTGCTCAGAGAAGAACCGTCATGTATCCAGCATCCCTCGTGCACTCGAAGAACTGACATGCGCCCCCCCCAGCCCCTGAGCGATCACCCAGGAGTTTCACCTTGTCCACCAGCAGCAATGAGGAGAAACAGACGGAGAGGTTAAATGATGTTGTTAGGGGCTCACCAGAAGTCAGCAACTGAGTTTGAGATGGCTTGCGTGGGCTTTTCCCTCTCTGCCTGCTGCTCTTTGTGGAGCCTTCTCTTTGGCCAGTGTCCACATGCCCTGGCCTGAGGAATGCAACGTGGAGGAGACACGGGGTGGGGAAGCAGGGGCACCGTGCTTGGGATCAGTTCTCTGCCTTCCTGCCAGCCACCTCGTTTTGATGCCCCATCACTGGCAACATTCAGGTGGATGGGAAGGCAGGAGGTGGGCGCCTCCATCATCAAACCCAAAGAACCAGAACACAATCCCTGCAGAAGGCCTAGCTCAGCATCTCGTGCCATCCATTTACTGAGTATCTACTGAGGGCTCACTCGAGAGCTCACGTCCTCATCAGGCAGAGACAGATGCAAATGGTATGCTAAGTGGTAGTAAGTGCCAGAAAACAGGAAGTGACAGGTGGGGTGGGGGTTACAGATAGGGCGGGCAGATAACATTTGGGCAGACTTGAAAGAGGGGGGTGCAAGCCAGACTGACAGCCTGGAGGAGTGGGCAGGATGCCTGGCACGTAGGCAACAACCAGGGATCACAGTGTCGGAATGGAATGACCAAGGGAGAGTGGAGGAGGTGGGGATGGCAAGTCATCCCAGCAGACCCTCTAGGGCTGACTCGGGGTGAGGGAATAGGGTCTGGCTGCTGTGTAGAGGACAGAGTGGAGGGGCAGAGGTAGAGGTCCCCGCTGTCCCCCAGATGAGAACATGGTGCCTTAAACCACTGGTCACAGTGGAGGGGGTAAGAGAAGGTAGACTCTGAATACATTGTGAAAGAGAGCTCTGCTTCCTCACTGTATGAGGACTGGGCTTTGTCTTGTTTTCTGGCTTGGGTTTTTTCCTGAGGATTATACAAGGCTTGAGGGATGTGTGGTCCATGTGACCACATAGCGTCACCCAAGGGGCACCAACAGCAGGGGCCGCCAGAACCCGAGCCCAGCTTCCAGTGCGTCCTGCGAGGACTTGAAGGCTCAGAGAGGCAGACAAGGCAAAGTGCCAGGGGGCCCCAGCGCCAGGCCCCACCAGCAGCTCTGGGATTACGCTTCGGGATGGAGTTTGCCCTGGAACCAAGCAGGTGAGGTATCAAGGGCTTCCCACAGAGAGAGCTGCACCAGCTTCCCTGCCCTATTTTCCAGCTGCCACCTGCCATGGAGCCTCTAAGCAAAATACATTTTCCTCCAGACTTAGGTTTTGACACACAAACAGCTTAGACCAGAAATATGTCAGCCCAGAATTGACTAACCATTAACTTTTCATAAGCAACTCAGGTATGAACCCTTTATGACTCTGTTATGACACAGGACAAATCAGCTATCTGGTGTTTTATTTTTATTATCGAAGCTTCTGCAGAGTGATAGGAATGGGGCTTTTTTAAGCAGAGCAATGCTTCAGAGAGAAAACTCCCAGGGCTCTCACAACAATATTTTACTCCATCGGGAGGACAGGTGTGCATCTTTTTTCTGATCATGAAAGCGGGCTGCATGCATCCACGATCCCCCTTCCCACCCCGTGCCCTCTGCCAGGCTTCCTTCTGGGTCTGCACCCCCTCACCAAGCTAATTAGCCAAAAAGCATCCTTAAAGGACTCAAGATGGTGTCAGTGAGACCCTCTGGAGTGTGAGCAAGGCAGAGGGTCAGTTGGTCAGCTGCTCTGTGGTTGCCCTCAGACAACCCCTGTGACACAGTGACTGGTGGCCTTCCCTCTCTCCCGCCACCACAGTGCTTCTGTGGAAAAGGGCACAGGGAATGGCAAGAGGGATGGTTTGGTGTTGGCTCTAGGAGGTCAAGAGGAGTTTTGTATGTCCTGCTAATAAGAAGAAGAAAAGTGGGGCGCCTGGGTGGCTTAGTCGGTTCAGCATCTCCTTTGGCTCAGGTCATGATCTAGGGTCCTAGGATCAAGTCCCGAATCGGGCTCCCTGCTCAGCGGGGAGTCTGCTTCTCCCTCTCTCTCTCTGCCCCTCACCCCTACCCCCTACTTGTGCATGCTTTCTCTTTTGCTCACTCTGCTCTTTCAAATAAATAAAATCTTTAAAAATAATAATAATAATAATAGGGGCAAGGTTGTCGAGAGTTTTCTTACAGAACCCCTGGCATCTGCCCCTCCTGGCTCTCTTTGCTGTCCCTTCTCTTGCTCTTTGTTTGCCCTCATTTTCCTCAGTAATGTTTCCCTTCTTGAGTTATTCAGTTCTCTGCAAGGCACCTAGAACTATTTTGGGACAAAGTGGATCTGACCCATGGTAGGCCATCTATCCCTGCAGGCCAACCTGTCCTACCACCTATTTTTTTTTTTTTTTTAATAAAATTTCACTGGGGCGCCTGGGTGACTCAGTCAGTTAAGCGTGTTGACTCGGTTTTGGCTCAGGTCGTGATCTCAGAGTCATGAGATCGACCCCTGCCTCCAGCTCTGTACTCCGCATGGAGCAAGCTTGGGCTTCTCTCTCCCTCTCCCTCTGCCCTCCTCCCCACCACACTCAGTCATTCGCTCTCTCTAATAAATAAATCTTAAAAATAAATAAAATTTCATTGGAACTTAGAGACACTCATTAATTTATATATTGTTAATGTTTATCTTCATGCTACAAGGCAGAGTTAAATAGTTCACAGAAACCCTATGGCCCACAAAGCCAAAAATATTTGCTATCTGTCCCTTTAAGAAAAACTTTCTCGTTCTTTTTTTTTTTTTTAAAGATTTTATTTATTTGACAGAGAGAGATCACAAGTGGGTGGAGAGGCAAGCAGAGAGAGAGAGGGAGAGGAGGAAGCAGGCTCCCTGCAGAGCAGAGAGCCCGATATGGGACTCGATTCCAGGACCCTGAGATCATGACCTGAGCTGAAGGCAGAGGCTTAACTACTGAGCCACCCAGGTGCCCCTCCCGTTCTTGTTTTAATTCTAGTTAGTTAATGCACAGTGCTATATTAGTTTCAGGTGTACAATCTCGTGATCCAGTGCTTTCTCCCACCACCCGGTGGTCATCACAAGAGCTCTCCTTAATCCCCATCCCCTATTTCACCCATCCCCCCACCAGGACCTTCCCCTCTGGCAGCCATCAGTTTGGGTTCTTGGTTTGCCTCTTTCTAATTTTTTTTCTTTGCTTTCTTGTTTTGTTTCTTAAATTCCACGTGTGAGTGTATACATACAGTATTTGTCTTTCTCTGACTGACTTATTTCACTTAGCATTATACTCTAGCTCTGTCTATAGTGTTGCAAGCAAATGGCAAATATCATTCTTTTTGATGGCTGAGTAATATCCCATTGTATATATATAGACCACATCTTCTTTATCCATTCCTCTATCGATGGACACGGGTTGTGTCCTGTTTGGTTATTATAGGTAATGCTGCTATAAACATGGGGGTGCATGTGTCCCTTCCAATTAGTATTTTTGGATTCTTTGGGTAAATACCTAGCAGTGCAATTGCTGGATCATAGGGTAGTTCGAACTTTAACTTCAGCGAAACCTCCATACTCTTTCCACAGTGGCTGCACCAATTTGCATTCCCACCAACAGGGCAAGAGGGTTCCTTTTTCTCCACGTCCTCACCAACACCTGTTGTTCCTTGAGTTGTTGATTTTAGCCTTTCTGACAGGTGTGAGGTGATAGCTCATTGTGACTTTGATTTGCATTTCCCTGATAAGTGATGAGGAATATCTTCTCATGTGTCTGTTGGCCATCTGTGTATCTTCTTTAGAGAAATGTCTGTTCGTGTCTTCTGCCCACTTTTTAACTGGATTATTGGGGGGGTGTTGAGTTTTATAAGAAAAACTCGCAGAACTGCTCAGCAGGTGGACAAGAGCCCCCAGGAAACCAGCCAAGCAGGCTGAGGATTAGTAGTAGGAGGGAGCCCAGTTCATGGAAAACAAGAGGAATGAGTGGGAAGGTGTTTCAGCCCAGCCTCACAGAGAGTGTGAATCAGGCCTTAATTGGATAAACAAGGTTCAGGCCAATAACATGGAAGAGAGAGGGTGTTCCTGCAACCCTGGTCGGCCTGGCCCTGCCAGCAGCTCTGGCCAAACACGTGGGTTTGGCCACAGGGTTTTTGTTTTCCTGGAAAAGCAGGAGCCTGGGCTCTCCTTCCCAGCCTACTCACTAGGGAGGCCAACCTGGTTGTCTTCCTCACCCTGTGCAGGACTTCGGAGAGGACAACTCCCTCTACATCACCAAGGTGACCACCGTCCACATGGGCAACTACACGTGCCACGCCTCCGGCCACGAGGAGCTCTTCCAGACCCACGTCCTGCAGGTGAATGGTTAGTAAATGGCTCCATGCATGTCGTCCCCTCTAAGTGCTCCCCAAACGCTGCTCACGGCAACCGGCCCCACTCCTGTATTCTAAAAGATGTGTCCGAGTCCAAGATAGCCCACCTGTCTCATAAGTAAAGGGGAGCAGTGGAGAAAGGGCAGAGTTGGCCAACAAGTTTGTCAGTCGGCTTCCCCCGGAGGCCTCCCCTGAGGAGGTGATGGTGGTGCCAGGGGCGAGTCCCTCGGGCTGATTGCACTCAGCAGCTGAGGCTCCCGCAGACCCTGTAGAAGATGCCCTGCCCTCCCATGGTGATGGCCGGCAGCCGGGCTCTGGGATCCAGGGAGTAGTGGACACTGTCTAAAACACACCACTGCCCTTCCAGGGGCGTGCACCCATGTCACTTGTCCATGGGGAGACACGACTTCCTCCACGGGGGTCTGGTTCCCATCTCCCTCCTGGAGGGGCTCAGCAATCCACAGCCGGGGCCCAGCCAAATCAGAAACTGAGCAAACTCGGGAGGTTTTCGTTGCTTCTCACGGACCCCCGTGTTGCCAGAACTCCTAAAAACAGGGAATTATTAACCCCTCTTGAGGACACCAACAACAAACTAAAATAGCCAGCGATTTCTGAGCACTTGCCTTGGCCACTCCCTGCGCTAACACATCCCATAGGCTTTCCCGGTCAGTACGGTCTAACCCATTATGGCTAAATCTCTAGGTAAGGTCCCTTGTCTGCAGTCACACCACGGGTGGGAGTCTTCCCAGACCCAGCACTGCGCTTTGATGTCTGTGTCACACTGCTGGCCTGTCCAGCCTGGCCCCTCTGGCCATCAGAACAGACAAGGCGTCCCCGTGCCTTGGCAGTGCCTTGGCAGACCTGCACCCCACAGAAGTTAGCCGTGTCCAGCCAGACCTAGCAGGGCTTCACTCCTCGTCCTGAGCAGGGTGTTCATGTGTCGGTGTGGAAACTTCTAGTCAGCCCTAGATCTTTTGCACCAGCTGGTGCTCAGGGCTTCTGCTCTGAGAGAAAAGGAGCAAGGTGTTTAAAATGATTACATAATGAGGCTCAATTTCACTTTCCTCTGGAACCAGGGTAACAAGCCATTTAAGGACAACGGGGTGGTGCGCTCAGCCGGCATCTACATTTACCCTACAGGATGTTCGAGGGATTTTTATAGCCATACCTGCCTAACACATATCCTAGTATTTCTCTTGACCGGGGACGTACTGAATTGTTTGGGGCTTTGTAGCTGGGCTTGCTGATCTGAATCCAGGCCTATGATGAATGAAGTCACCAGATTTCTCCAGAAAATAACCTAGGGGTTCCTAGTTACAACAGCCCCTGGGGGAGTTCACCTAGACCAGATTCCAAGGTCATTCCTAAGTGCAGGCAGCTCAGCATGGGCTGCTCAGAGCAGAGCTGGAGCTCTGTAGCAGGAAGCTGGCTTTTCTGTCTGAAACTGGCAAGTGGTGCTCCGCATGGTACAATGTGGGTGACGGTTTGGTTGGGAGGCAGCTCCCTGCGGTTTGCCCCGGGTCCATCGGGTCCTCAGACGAGCCTGGAGAAGGGAAATAAACCATATTCACAGACTGTTCATTCTGCCCTTGGCCTCCTGCCTCCACTTCCCAAGAATAGGGGGCACAGGGAGATGGCTTGAGCTTTGTCCCATTTATTTCCTCCAAACAACTCCCTGAGGAGGGGAAGGGAGCCACCTGCCAAGGAACCTGAGTACCTCACAGGTGAGAGCCTATACTTGGGCCTCTGGGAGAGACTCTGGGGTCTCAGATACCTTCATAGACTAAGTGCCAAGTCCATGGTGCCCCATGATCCCCCAGAATTCTGAGACTGAGGTCCTGATGGGAATGAGCCTATGTGTCATTCCCAGAGCTGAATACAAGAACAAGGCCCAGACCCAGCACCATGAGGGATGGCTGAGTTTCAGGGAGAGAAGAGAGCCCTCCCCATCAGGAGGGAAGTGGGCTTCGTAGCTGGCATTGGAAAGCCCCATTCACACCCTCCCTAGCCACCCGCCACCCCCATCCGAAGGCCCCTACAGACCTAGTCTCCACTGAAGAAACTGCTTCTGGCCCAGAAGAGTCTACACACAGCAAAACTTCCTGCTGAGAATCAAAAGAGGCCACTTGATTTCCTAACTGCAGACAGATGGAAGGCCTCTCCTGGAGCGGAAGCACCATCAGCAGTCAGAGGGACCATGCTGGGACATTTGTACTTTGTGATCAGTTTCCTATGTCATTAAATTGGCCCCTGGTGCTTGGCTCCCGTGACAGGCAGGTGGGGCAGCTTGGGTGGCCCTAGCTTCAGTAGCTCATGCGGTTCCTGGGCTGGGCTGATTCCCAGACACTTGGGGGAAATGTGTGGGTCCCCTAACCAGCTCCCTCATGGGAGCACCATGCTAACGTAGGCCCAGAATTGCCTCCCAAGGACACAAGGGCACTGTCGGTTGACCTGGGAATTAGAAGCAAGGCTTTCTGAGTATTGTAAGCTTGCTGTGTTGGACAGAAGGGGGCAAATGTCTTATCTGTATGGGAAGATGCTGAAAATAGGATATGAAAGAGCTGATTATGATAGCATTGCATGAGTACATACTGCGTGCCATCCCTGTTTAACAGATGAGGTCACCAGGGATCCCAGCACCCAGCCCTGCAGTTAGAAACTACAAAGCCGCTCTTGACTCCAAAGCCCAGACTCCCCACACCTGCCCTGTCCTGCTGTACCCATCCTTACCCAGGCATCGTGTTATTGCTGTTGGAGAATCTGGATGTTGGATGCAGGTGTGGTCATTCAGCAGCTGTGTTGTGCTGCTGTGGGCTATGCACTCTGGAAGACAGGTCCCAGGAGGGCCGGAGTGTTGTGGAAGTCCCACAGTGGCGTTAGGCTCCGGGAGCTTTGCTAGGCTGCTGCTTGGTGCCAGAGTCTGTCAGGCGGAGCCTGAGGAGGCTGAGAAGACACTTCTGATGCTCAGGACAGAAGGAAGGCTGCCTAGCCTAAGAGTGCCCTGAGGAAGGGGAGAGAAAGCAGCAGCAGATTCATCTGGGGAATTGGTTCCCTTTTGCCGTTCATGTCAAGCATGATTGAAAACCATGAAGGCTGTCCCCGAGCTGCCTGGGTAAAACCCAATGTGGTTGCCCAGCACAGCTGTTGGAGGTCTGGTTTGGTCCCCCCTTGGCTGGGCAGATGGCCTGTTGCTTACTGAGCTGAGGCGGCGCCTGGGGCACCCAGTCAGGGAGTGATGTTCTGTGTCTATTCCTTCACAGAGCTTCTCCTCAACCAGAAGGAAGGGACTGGGGGTGGGGGGGATGAGAAAGGGCGGGAAGAGGGCCCTGCCCAGTTACCTGCTTCTCGGAAGGCTCGAAGCCTTTCTAGGACTTCTCCACCCTAAGCCCCGTGCAGACCCCAGCTAGCAACCCCTGTCGCACAGAGTCAAGACATGAACCCTGAGCCAGAGGCGCCTGGGTTCAAGGACTTGTACTGGTGTTTCCTTGACATACAAGGAAGGCAAGTAAGCTCACCTTTAAAATGGGAAGAACAGTAGTACCTCCTGCCTTAAAGGCCTGATGAGATCTGATATTTCTCCAGTGCTTGGAAATCCCTGATGCAGACAGAGTTCACAGTTCAGGGTGGGACAGATATGGGAGAGATTTTGGTTGTCTCAAGCCACATGAAACTGTAGTTGGTGGACATAGATGCTCTGAACAGTGGCCCCTCAGAGAGCATGCAACCCATTATACAGATGGGAAAATCAAGACCCAGTGAAACTAGCCAAGACAAAAATAAAATACTGACTTCTTTCTGGAGCTACCCCACTCCTTGGCGGCAGGGGCCAGACCCCATCTTCTGGGGGTTTTCCATCCCCAACTCTGCATTGACCCGGTTGGCTAAAGGGAGCCCTTCCAGGCAACTACTTCACTCAAATTATTAGTATAATTTCCTCACAGACCAGGCCTCTCAGAGATGAGGCCCAAACGCTGACATGATTTATAACTTCATGAAAACCTCCCATATTGCCCTCCTAGGAAAGAGCAAGAACTTGAGACATAAATGATTAATCCATTAAAATACAAACCCCTCCAACTCCCCACAGTTCAGACAAGTAACGATTCATTCCCAAAACACAATAATCCTCTCCCAAATCTGTTGATGACTCTAGCTTGGTCCTTTTGTGAATGTGCCTCTTACTTAGGACATATTTATGCTGCCTTTTACCTTGGAAATGATCCATGTTTCCCAAAGAAAATGGGCCTTTGTGTTACATATTCAAATGTTTTCACTGGAGGGTTTTGCAGATTTAAAAGAAAATGAATGTGTTTACCCAGAACATATTAATTTCAAATGATTTTTAGTGTGTGAATTAATACAAAAGGAGAGGGGAGATGCAGGCCAGAGGAAAACAGGTGCGTCTTTGTTGCCAGCAGGAAGCTGTGCCCACACCCCAGCCCCTCAGTCTCTCACGGTGAGAATGCCAAGCTTTTCCTAACTGGGCCCCATCCCGGTGGGAACCAGGGCTCCTGGGGTCTTTGACCCCTCCCGGACCCTCCTGTTTTTCTCGGGCTCACCTATCCCTACGGAAGACTGCATCCTGAGCTCTGGCTCTGCTAGGAGTTAGGAGTCACAGCTTCTGCCCAAAGGAAGCAGGTGTTCCCTCAGAGCCTGGGGCCTGGTCCACACCACGGCAGGATGTGTGGATGTCTCCTCACGTATGAGGACACCTGGGTTCTCAGGGCACTAAGTGCAATCCCACCGCACTGAAGGGATAATGCTTTGGTTGTTTTTGTGTTTTTTGGTTTTTGTTTTTTAAACCTTGTCGGGCCAGTCTCCCAGTTAGCAGGTGGTCAGGTCCGGGCATGACGGGCTTCTCAGTGGAGCTCCTTGGTGCCTCGTGGGTTGCCTTCCATGTCACAGGCTCCCTTTGTGCAGGGCCTGAAGCCAGGAAGACCCAGGAGGGCCAGGACTGGGTGCAACATCCCTTCGATTGCTGCTGGCCTGGCT